ACCCACCTAATGATTAGTAGTATTACATGGTGTTTTAATCAAGTACTTGCCAAAACTTGAGCAATAGGAAAAAAACCCAAATAGACATGTAATTTAAACCCGTTATTCATAGGTCTACTGGGTGGAAGGTTAGTGTCCAACTCCCACGTGTTCACTGGTGAATTGTACATTTCTTTTAGAATCTGGGGGTGGTGAAAATAGGGGTTGAAACTTTAGCCATACACCTATGTTTTACATGTGTTAATATTTGGATACTTACATTACCTTTGCTTCCTAACAGATATGAGGAAAGCACTATCCAGAGACACAGAGAAGAAATCTATCATACCATTACCTCATCCTGTGAGGCCTGAAGACATTGAATAACCATGGGCAGTGGTTCTTAGGCAGATGCTCCATCCAGATGGTTTATTTAAAATATTAATTCTTATTGGATCTTTTCTCCATTAGGAGAAAACAATCATTTAGGTCTCAAGGACATCAACAAAATACAAGTTAACTTATTTTATATCTCATTGTTTCCAATTAGCAATATTATACTTACCAAAGTTGTTCAAAGGAACCCTGGTGGCATAATGGCTTTGTAAGATGCGCTGCTGCTAACTATACAGTTGGTGGTTCAAACCCATAAATATTATAGCTTAGAAAACTGTGTTATGGGGCAGTTGTACTGTCTTATAGGGTCACTCTGAATTGGAATCAAATCACTGTAAAAAGTTGATCAAAAAGGTAGCCGAGTCAGGAGACATTCCACCATCTTGATTTGTAATACTCACTAAATGCCTACAGAAAAACTTGCTCCAATTTTCTCCTAGATACTATGTCTGAGAACCACTGCTGCTTATATTTTTTATATTCAACTGTTGAAGTTTTAAAAGCATAGATGAAATGTATAAATATAAGATGTATAGTAAAATATACTGTTTGACCTACAAATGTTTTCTGGAAGTTTGTTTAAGGTTTGTGAGTTCTCAAATTATTGTACATCTTAATGTGATTTTATTTTTGGAAACCTGAGACAATCGTGGCCCACATGGACGTTTCGTTCTTGTAAATTCTTCCTAATTACTTGTTATCTTAGTCGGTCCCTCGTCTTTGTAAAGTCTCATAATACATTGTATAAATGTTGCTTTTCTATATGTAAAGATGCAGAGATATTTTTAAGGGGGGGAGCACCCAAATCCTCAAGAAAAGTCATGTAACTGGATTTTAAACTATGCATCTATTTTCATATGTAATTTCATCACCTATAATAATTGAATATCCAGTGAATGAAAGAAAAAACCCCACAAAGAATGATTTTTATATAAAGGTTTTTACTATCGAAAAGACTTATTTTGGTAAAGTTGGGGTGATTATGGAGGTGAATTCCATGATTCCCACTAAACTTCCGCTTTATGCTTATAGTTAGTTTCAAAAAAACCCAAAAAACAGTATGTTTTGTTCTCCAGTAATTGAATAACTTTCCTTCATTCCTTTCACACTGGTGCCTATCAGAAACTTTTCAGAATTTACATTGAGTACATGAACAGTGATTGTTTTTCTTTATGCACACATATAACAGGATAATTATAAAAAGACTCCATGACAAGTTAGGTTTTTGACCTGCTTTCATATATCATCCTTTGACTTAGTCAAAACAAAGGATATTACCATATATACTACAGTGAGTATAAGCCGACCTGAATATCAGCCGAAGTACCTAATTTGACCACAAAAACAGCATTAAAAATGTGCTGAAAAACTAGGCTTATATGAGTATATACGGTAAATTCTTACTACTAAACAGTAACAAAACTGACATCCTACCAGCAGACATTGTCCAGTGAGCATAGATAGTTCTACTTCTGCCCTTAAGCACTGAATCTTATTTTAATGCTATAATTTATCTATTTCTTTTGCAGTGAGTACTCAATTTGCAGGTTTAAAATTGCTCCAGTTCTTTGTATGAAAAGCATTCTTGAAGACACAAGTGCTAAATAGCATGGGCAATGAACAAAAAGAGAAATGTGCTTGAGAAATACAGGCCAACTACAAGAAACAGGTACCAGGGGCAGTAAATTCAGACCAATATTTTTGGTTGAGAATGTGAGCACAGGTATCAGCAAATATTAAATATTTGCTACTTTAATTTTTTAACACACCTGTGTGTTTTTATATATACATATGCTTTAAAAGTTGTTTAGTGTGATGTGTGATGAGTGTATTTTCTCTTATGGCACATATTGGGAGTATCATGAGGAACAACTGGAGAACATGTTATATGGCAGAATTCCTAGAGATTCATAACATCATGTGGCATATCAAAGGCTTAGAAACTTAGCTATTAAAAGACTTGACTCAAGACTTCCTTATACCAGAATTCCTTACTTATTTAAATACGAGACACCATTTCTCACTGCATGTTATCCTTTTAAAAAAATATTAGAGATCAATTTAGCAAATGATTAGAACCTAACAATTTAAAACGTTGTTAAAAAAGGCCCTGTTCAGAAATTTAGTCACTAAAAACGATTTTTCAAGCAATCTATATTTTCTCTTTCCTCTTGCCACTGCTGGACTTCAGGCCACTCGCCTTCGCCTAGGGCAGGGGTCCTCAAACTATGGCCCGCAGGCCACATGTGGCCCGTTGACATTTATCTGGCCCGCCAGATGTTTTTTGCCGATTTTGTTTTTTTACTTCAAAATAAGATAGGTGCAGTGTGCATAGGAATTTGTTCATAGTTGTTTTTTTTTTTTAAACTAGTCTGGCCCTCCAATGGTCTGAGGGACAGTGAACTGGCCCCCTGTTTAAAAAGTTTGAGGACCCCTGGTCTAGGGCAATTACACTTGTCCTCCACCCAGATTGGGAAGCTCCGCCCTCTGCAGAGTAACACGAGGCTGGGGAAATCCCACCCATCTTCTGCTGCAGAGGAACTCATGCCTACCCTCCAAGGCCCTTAAGCAGCTGGGGGAAGTCCCGCCCACCCTTTGGGGTGCTCCACTTGGTTGGGGGAGCCTCTGCACATCCTCCATGGTCCCACGTGGTTGAGGAAACTTACTCCCCCCTGCTGTTGTGCCTCACACGGCCTAATGCAGCTCCACCAACTCCCCATCTATGTGACCTAGAGGGCAATCTAATCGACTAGCACAATTCCCCCCCCATCATCCTCAGTGCTCTATACCAATGTGGGCACACCCACCTGCTCTCTGTGGCACTCTAGTTGCAGCAGGCACCCCGGACCACACCATGGCTTCCTCTGAGATCATCCAGTGCAGCGCCATCATCGTGAGTCCAAAACCACCCAACCAGCGTCCTGAGAGAACCATCCAACTTGCCCTCCAAATAAAAGAATACTGGTTGGTTAGGGAAAGAGTGAAACCACAGGAGGATAAAGCAGTAGCTGATCCAACTGCAGTTAGCTGCAGGCAGCTTGAAGAATTTCCTACAAGTCCGTCCCCCAAAGAGAGAGTCCAGTGCTCTACGACTCTGGAGAATGGCATCAGGCTCCTCTAAAACACAATGCAAACAGCAATCAGCCCCAACAACCAAAACGAGAAAACAGGAGAAATAAAGGGCAATGTCAGAAGTCCTGAACCTAACGATGTGCACAGAAGAACCAGACATGTATCTGCCACAGAAAAAAAATTTTCAGAATGCTTCTTGGAGTCATATAGGATATGAGGGAAATAATACAGAAAAAGGATGAAATGATAGAGGTGATAAAGGCCATGCGCCAAAGGGAAATACAAGACCTAAGGGAAGAGATAACAAAAGCCAGTAGCAAATTCAGACTTACGTGAGGAGGCAGAGAATCGCACCAGTGACCTAGATAACCAGGCAGATGTCAACAAATGGGAAAGGCAGTAAAATATGATAATCAGAGAAGCTGAAGAAAACCTGAGATCCATGTCTGATGCTATGAAGGGGAACATTAGAGTAATTGGACTACCTGAACAAGACACAATGAAGAAGTCAACAACAAAAATAGTAAGGGAATTCTTAAGTGGAAAACCTTCGGCTTAATGAATGAAAACCAGGCAACCATTCAGGAGGCCAAAAGAAAACCAGCTAGACTGAATCCCAGGAGGTAACCAAGGCACATAATAGTTAAACTATCTAACTTTGAGGAAAAGGAGAAAATCGTGAGAGCAGCTAGGAACAATAAACAAGCAGTAACCTATAAGGTACCCACATAAGAATGTGCTCACACCTATCAGCAGACATGAAGAAAGAGTGGAGTAACATATTCCAAAAATTGCAGGAAAATAACAAACTCAAGAATATTGTATCCAGCCAAATTATCTGTCAAGATAGATGGAGAAGAGTCTTCCCAGACAAAATTCAAATACGTTAAGCCCTACAAAAGATCCTTGCTGACCCAGTCTGGGCAGAATAATAGCGCTTACTGAGCACAAATAAGAGACCACCACATAGAAGAATCCCATCAAGAAGCCAACAAAGAAAACACCCCCCAAGATAGCATTGGCTCAAGGGTGGAAAGAAGGCAAAAATGAACTACACACACACACACATACACACACACACACACACACACACACACACAACAAACCGATAAGAAAGGGAGGTAGGAAAACACCCAACCCAAGAGGTAAAAAGATGACATCAGAGTCCACAGATGGATGTAATGATCCTGAATTTCAATGGACTGAACTTGGGCATGTAAAAGGCAGAGGCTAGCAGACTGGCTTAGAAAACACATTCAATTCTATAGTAATATACAAGATTTCCAAAACTGGAAAAATTATCATTTCATTTTCCCACAAACTAAAAAAGTCCCTTCATATAAGAAAGTGCCTGGGCATGAATATCTAATGTAGTACCTAGCAAATGCCAGGTAATTTCCTTTCTATCTATAAAATGAGCTGGCAAATTATCAGCTCCATTTCATGATTAAGAAACAGTGATGGTAAAATTACATATTACTAAGTGGCAGAGCTGGACACTAATCTTGAATTCTGACTTTGAAAAAATAAAACCTCAAAACTTCCAGGAGGACCCTAAAAATGTTCTGAAATTACAGCATATGCAAAATGTTCCTTAATAAGGTTTACTAATACATGACACAAGACACACAGATTAGGAAAGCTTAGGTAAGGAAACCCATTTGTTAAAAAAAAAAGTTCCTTTACTTAGAATTCCCCACCCTTAACTCTCAAGACATGAGGGCATTAAATTTTTTTAAAAAATAGCTGTCAAAGAATCCAGCCAAGTTATTGCTGGTGAAATAATACATAGGGATCATAAGCATTTCAAAGTATTAGTTATAAAAACACTGCATTTGTCAATAGGAAAAAAAGTCAGGATTCACTCTCATCAATGTCCTTTTCTAGGTCATGCTCAGCAGCCTCCTTTTCTTGTTGCTGTTTCTTCCAAAGTTTGGCCATAGCCAGGAGCTTGAGGTTAGGTTGGTTGGCAGCATCTTCTGGAAAGATGTAATCATAGTATTCTTCCCAGCCTGGATCAGACTATAGAAAGAAAATGATTAGAGTATGCTGAGACGTAGCTAAGACAAACACGTTTTGGTTGCAATTTTCAGTGGGAAACGCAAAGTTCAAATCCAACCTTTCTCCATTTCACAGAGTAACAAAGTTTACAGAAAAAACAAAACAAACAAACAACCGAGCTGAGCAGGAATAAGTAGCTATTGGATTAGTATTTATAACTTGCTTACCAGGTGCTAAAAACCCCGACTGAAGAAATTCTAGATCTATTGGCACACTTTCTCTTGTGCTGTTTAGGTGTCATTGAGTTGATTCTGACCCATAACAACCGGATACACAATCAGTGAAACACTGTCCAGCCCTGTATCATCCTCACAATTGTTGTGTGCTTGAGCCCGCTGCTGCAGTCACAGTATTAATCTATCTCGTTGAGGGCCTCCCTCTTTCACTGCTCCTGAACTTTACCTTCTCCAGAAGTTAGTCTCTCCTGTTTACCTGTCTAAGATGAACTTTGGTCATCCTTGCTTTTAAAGACTCTGTTTGTACTTTTTCCAAGACAGATTTGTCCTTTTAGCAGTCCTATTTACATAGTCTCTAGCAGCACAATTCAAATGCAGATACTTCTTTGGTTTTCTTTATTGGATGTCCAACTTTCACATGCATATGAGGCAATTGAAAATAACAAGGCTTGGTTCAGGTAAACTTTAATGCTGAAAGTGACACCCTGGCTTTTCACTACTCTATCTAAAGAGGTGTTACCCAGATTTACCAATGCAATTCATCTTTTCACCCCTTGAGCAATGTTTGACAACTTAGGATTTGTTTTTTTAATTTATCATGATGTTACCTATTGATTCACTTTTGAGGATTTTGGTTTTCTTTACATTGAATTGTAATCTATACTGAAGACTGAAACCCTTGATCTTCTGCAAATGTTGTAAGTCTTCCTTTCAGCAAGCAAGGTTATGTCAACTGTAGATGCAACTCCAATCCTGATGCCACATTCTTCATATAACACACCTGATTATTTACACAGTATTTAGATCGAATAAATATGGTGAAAGGATACAACCCGGTTGTACATCCTTCTTGATTTTAAACCATGCAGTATTCCCTTGTTCTCTTTGCAAAACTGCCTCTTGATCAATGTACAAGGACCACATAAGCACAATGAAATGTTCTGGAATTCCCATTCTTTTCAAGGCTATCCATAGTTTGTTATGAACACATTTGAATGCCTTGGTATAGTCAATAAAATGCAAGTAAACATCTTTCTGATATTGTTTTCAGATAAAATCCCCCTGACAACAACAATGATATCCCTTGTTCCACATCCTCTTCTGAATCTGGCCTGAACCATTGTTGAATGATATTCAGTAAAATGTCATTGGCACAGGATACATATATATATAATGTTCTATAGTTGGAGCATTCTGTTGGGTGAATGGGTACAAAGATGGATCTCTTCCAGTCAGTGTGTCAAGTAGTTGCCTTTCAAATTTCCTGGCATAAATGAGCGAGTGCTTTCAGAGCTTCATCAGCTTGTTGCAACATTGCAATTGTTATTCCGTCAATTCTTGGAGCCTTGTTTTCGGCTAATACTTACAGTGCTGCCTGACCTTCTGCCTTCAGCACTATTGGTTCTAGCTCATCTGGTACTTCCTGAAATGGTGCAATATCAACTAGTTCTTTATGGTACAGTGATTGTACCCTTTCCATCTTCATTTGAAGCTTCTTGCATCATTCACTATCTTGTCTATAGAATCTTTGAATATTGCATGCAACTCAAGCCTTCAATTTATTCCATAGTTCTTTCGGTTTAAGACATACTGATCATGTTCTTCCTCTTTGCCCCCACCCCCGATCATTTCATTGAGGGCTCTTACAATGCTTATTACAATCCATACATCAATT